CGTATTGAAAATTTTGACTTCGGTGTTGGCTGACCGACAGTCGTTTCGAGTTCTCGATGTTGCTCAATTGTAGAACTGCTGACCTCGCTTTGCCAATCCGTGTATTCACATATGCATCAGATCGACCTTGCTCATCGATGGTGCTGCCCAGATATGTAAAGATACCAACATAGTCCGAAGCTTCTCTGACAACTGTGATTAGGTTGCCGTGTTTATTGGAGGATGTTGTGTTTTCCCTTGTGATATGAGGACTAGACCATCCACGAATTCCAAGCCATCCAGCTGCATCCGACCTGTCCAGTGTATTCCGTGCTTTCTCATATGTTGGGGTCTTCATAATTCAGTCGATCACTAGGGTAAAGTGTGAGAGTAAGCAACCTTGCTTGACATCAGTATTGGCTCCAAACGAGTCTGTGACCTGTCTTCCATTCACGATCTGGCAGTTTAGTCTTTCATGAGAATTTCGTATGATGTCCACCATCTTCTCAGGCACATCATAGTGTCAAAGCAGTCTCCACAGTGTCATCCTATCCACGAAGTTGGATGTTTACTCGTAGTCAATCAAGTCGATGTTTTGGTGTGAATTGCATTCGATTGATTGTTCCACACTGATTCATAATGCTGAAATCTGGTCAGTATGCGATCGATCCTAACGAAACATAGCATACTGATCTCGAAATCGAGAGTCTATTGAATGTTTCATTCGGTTTAATAAGACACTGACGAGGAAGTTTCCTGGTATTGAGAGGAGAGTGATGCCTCTGTAGTTATCACACTTACTGAGATCGCGTTTCTTTGGTATTGTGATGAGGTGTGCCTCATTTTTCCTATCAGTTGGTAGTTGTTCATTCTTCTACATCTTGCTGAATAGAATGTGGAATATCTTAGAAGTCACTGTTATGTCTGGTTTCAGTAGCTCGTGTGGGATGTTGTCTGGCCCTGCTGCTTTGCCGCTCTTCATTTATCTGATGGTTACTCTGATCTCTTCAACTATTTTTGGGTCAACATTGATTGGTAGATCCGTGGATGCTGCTTCGATGTTCGGTGTGTCTAATGGTGTCGCTAGATTGAAGGATTCTTCAAAGTTCTCTATCCACCTGTGTCGTTGTTGTTGAATGTCGTTGATTGCTTTGGCGTACTTGTTCTCGACTGGTCGTTCTGTTTAATTACATTTCTGTTTTGTTGTGTTGTGTAGTTATCTTATGTGTCCTCCTCTTGCAGATGTTTCTGTTTCCATTGGTAGATCTTCCACACACTAACAATTATCGTTTCGAATGCTCTTCTTCACTTGCTTGTATGATTATGAGTATCCGGCTTGTGCCTTTGCTTTCTCTGTTCTTGTTCGGCTGATATTATTTTTTGTCTTCCTTTCTACTTTTGATGAAACTTATCCATAAAGTCAACAGAGATCCGCTCCTTGTGATGCTACTTCTTGTTTAATAGGAACTCATGACATGCTGAAGTTGTTACTTCTTCGATTCCTTCTGCAGTTCTCCCCCATAGTAGTTTCTTATGAACTGAGTGGATGGTGAGTGTCCTGAAACTTGTTGCTTATTGATTGTAGGCATTTTGAATTTGTTGAGTTTTTCGGGATCTCGAAGGATGACCGCATCAAAATTTCGTCATACTGTTTGAATAGTTGTCCAGTGCTTGTATCAGTTCCATCTTGGCCGCTACAAAGTGGTGATTTGAAGGAATGACAGATGCCGTCTTGGTTGTCACCTCTTCAATGGTCCTTCTGAACTTTTGACTGATTCAGATGTGATCGATTTGGCCTTTTGTAGTATGGTCCGATGAACCAGTGTGACGTTTGTGTCCGTTTGTGTGGAAATATGGTACCACCTATAACCATTTTGTTGAAAGCACATACACTTGAGAATATCTCATCATTTTAGTTCCTTTCTACCATTTCACTGTCCATTCCAATCTTGGCTTTAGGCCATTCATCAGAATATTTAAATCCATTACAAGGGATTTCTGGAAAATTGACTTGAGCCTCTCATAGAACTGACTTTTATGGTCACAATTGTTATCGTTGATAGGCGCACAGCATTGAATAGCATTCATCTTAAACCACTTTTTCTTTGTTTCGAAATATGCTTTGGTCATCGCGGTTCCATGATATCCCCACCCGCTCATTGCCTTCTGAGCATCTTTGGAAAGAATTAGTTGAATATTTTTATTCATGTTGCAACTTGAATGGTTCTACCGGCCTCCTATATTGTGCGAACATCCCAAGTCCTCGTATTAGCTATCACTCTATTTGTGTGAAGTGGCATCTATCTCATGACTTCCCAAAAAAGTCTCCTTTCACCTTGACGTTTGATAAGTCTTCTATACAGAAACCTTCTAAATCCTATGGCAGACTTAAGCAGTTTGAAATATTTTCTTGGTTAGCGTTTGTTTAGCGAGTTAGTTTTCTACGGGATGGGTTCGCTAACTCCATGCCCCACCCTCTTCATTTATCTCATTTCGAGACCGATAGTAACCTAAGAGGTTCTCCAGGCGGAGATAATTCCACTTTAGTAATTATGCATAATGTAGTTATTTAACTGCTTATTAAGTGAACTTCTAAATAAACTCTAATGACAGCAAGCAATTTTTCTTGTTAGAATGTATTTCACAAACCATTACTCTTATCTTTTAGTTACATTGCTACTGTGACATTCTTTTCATGTTTGCGTATGTGTTGTTAACTTGTCATATTCATTGTAACATATTATCATAAAGTAGAACTACACATTCTTAAGTGTTCGTGTATTAATGAATACAGTTGAGTATTAATCACTTTATTTACAATATTTGTCTTTAATTTGTTAACAATTTGCAACCATTTATAGATATTTGCATTTCTAATATTTATAGATATCGATTTTACTATCATCATTAAACAAATATGCTAAGATTGAGCAATAATGAAAAGATAACTGAAAATGAACATCCTTTTTTTGAATATTAGAATCACGAACTAGTATTAACTAGACCATATTTTAACTTCTGCAGGCACAGGACGTTTGTTTCGTACTAGTACGGAACTCCTTAGACGTGTGCATTCTTGATTCCGTCTGATAATATTCTTGTCTAAATCTAAATAATCATAACTGAAAATCACTATCAAATTTTCATTGCCGATTAAATTAAATTAATTTTGACCAAAAATTTGCAAATTTACAGTATCTCTTTCCCCGAACTGAGTGATATAATTTCAAGCTTTCCGTTTTTGATCTGAATAATAAAACTTGCTCTTATTTTAAGCAGAAATGAATTTCAAGATAATACTATGAGTATTAAATTTTTTTTGCTCTAACACTTTTATCTACAGTTCGCTAGCATTATAAGATTCGTTAGTTTCATGTACTTTTGGATTGTGTTTCGATGGTTTTACCGTTAGCATGTAGCTAATTGACTTGTGCTACATAAATTTTTCATATGTTTTTCAATTTTTAATCAAACTAAATTTTGTTTTTAAAAAATTATTCACCAATTTTAGAGTTTGTTTAAACTGAAATTTTGATGATGTAGGGTTTGTTTTTTTTTCTGCTATCAAGTCTTTCTGTTTGAGGTTGTATTGTTTCGACCAAGGAGTTAAATTCTTTTGCAGTAGTTTTTTTGAAATATTTCTGATCAATTTTTGCATTTCTATGAAATTTCAGTTGCCTTTCTCAGACATATTGTTGAGCCGAAGAGATAATGGAACTATAAAGCGATCTGTTTATAGAAAGCCGACGTGGACTGGACAGTACCTAAATTTCAACAGTTTTTGTCCACTGCAACACAAGCGAGGTTTAGTAAAATGAATCTTCAATAGGGCACAAAGGATTTGCACCACGGATACATTTGACGACGATGCAAAATTCTTAACAGTAGCATTGATTTCACATGGCTATCCGCTAAAGTTTATCAATAGGTGTAGAGATCAGTTAAGACAAAAGCAAGTGTTTGATTCTGCTGAAAAGAAAAAGGTTTATATCACTTTACCATTTAGAGGTGAAGCAAATGGTCTAATAATAAGACAGAGACTAAAAGCAGCCATAGAGAAAACATACAACGCTGCTAAACTGATTATCATTGAAAATACCAAGTCCATGATTTCGCATATACCTAAACGTTGCTCTAATGATTACATCACATCCCATTGTATTTATCAATTTACATGTTTGTGTGGACACACATACATAGGGAGGAGTAATCGGACTTTGCAATCAAGGGTTGTGGAACATGTACCTAAGTGGCTTCAAAATCATTTAACGTCAGATGAGCCGATTAACGTTGGAAATAGAAAACCATGTTCATCGATCGCCGAACACATAATTGAGACAGGGCATAAGATTGACATCAAGACAGCCTTCAAAACATTGTATAGAAATGTTGAAGGACGAATTTTGAGGTTTATGGAGGCCTTGGCTATTAGAAAATTAAAACCCCCTTTATGTGTGCAGAAACAATTTGTCATAACCTTGAATTTACCTTGGTAATCTTTAAGCCTAGGGTAATGTGACAATTTTCCTACCCCTTCTTATTCTTTTCATATTACGTTAATTTTCTCTCTCCTTTATTTACAATTATCATCCTATGTCTATTTGAACTTTTATTTAATTGACCTTTTATTCATCTTCATATAAAATGCCTTGACAAGTAAATATGTGTGTCCAGATTGTTCGAAATGTATAGCGCAAATGCATCACATTTTCCCGATCAATTACGTCTTCTCACTGTTCTATCAAAATTTCAAAATAACAGTCAATGAACTTTAATTGTAGCTAATGATTAGTGTGAATTCAATCTTGATTAATTAAGTAATCGGTTCATTCAAAATCATTATCAAAATATCATAATGAACAGCTGTACCTGTCGAGTATAGAAAACTAACAGTTTTTTTTTTAGAAAAAATATCGGTTTGGGAAATTTCATCTAAATGGAGCTATTTGGATTATAGGCTTTGATTAAATTTTATAATAACTCAACTTAGTTACAAGTGATTGATGAAAATATAAACTCAGTTTTATATTGAATATATATTATCATAATTAGTGTTCATTGTTATAAAAATATACACATTGAAGGAGTGAATAAAGAATAAGGAATCACGAATTGTAAGATATTGTTTAGATGACACCAGTAATAATAATAGTTAAAAGTAAAACTTAATATTCTGTTAAGTTAGGAGTTAAATCTTTGTCCAAATGGTGTACGCCATATACTACATGAGTAATTATTCATTCTAAATTGTAATGAACAGAATGGTTCATGAGAATAACTCATCCAGAATGAACCATTCATTATAATAACATGCCATACATTATCATAATTTTCTTCTAAAAATTTCTTTAGGCCTGATGAAACTTTGTCTAGATTCTTTTCATCAGCTCCATTTTGTTCCAGCAATTTGTTAAATGTTTCAATAACTTTCGCTTGTTTTACTTCCGACATTGCTGATTTAATAATGTCGACATTAGCTGGTTTAACTGGTGTAGTTTTATCCCATACTAAGGCTCTTTCTACTTTTTCTACACGCCTTTGTAAAATCAAAAAAAAAAAAATAAAAAAAAAAAATAAAAGAAAATGATTTCATAAATTTATGATTAGTAAACCCAGAATAAGTACTATTCATAAGGTGAATACATAAAAACCAAGATTGTTTTCTTAAAATGTTCATATTGGAAAGATAATTAGTTTTAACGAATGTAATTTTAGTCAATTAGGTTCCTAAAGTAAAATGAATCTACTTCACCAATGATTCATTCGAGTTTGAAAACCTTCACGTTCACGGAACCTTTAATTCCGTGTGCCATCTAATCCAGAAACTTTAAGTTTCACAACAATCAGAAATTATCTAGACTCCCCAATGAAGATCCAATAGTCAACAGTTCTAATCTTAATCAATGCCTGATATTCCATATTTTCATTGACGTTCAAATGATGTCATAATGATAAACAACTTTTAAACTGAATATTCTTCATAGATCTATAAATCTTTAGAATATATATTTCATGCCAGAGTCTTTTAAGACTATAGTATATAAAATTCTGGTATAATAAATTTTTTACAGTATTATTAACTGAAAAACAGTAAAGTTACTAATTCATAACAGAATAATTAACAATCATAAGCTGAAGAATTCAACAAAGAACCGAAATAAATTATTAACTATAGTTATTCAAAATAAAATCAACGATAACCTATACAAAGTAGTTGTAATATGTTTGGAACATTAAGAAGACATTGAATAATTGTAGACCGAAGAATTTAAACAAATAAATATTTCATTATTATCTAAGCGAAAAGTAATTTTAGTTTGAAATAGGATAATGCACCTGAGCAAAACTGATAGTATGAATAATTATTCAAGTTAATTTAAACTGGGTTTCTTGACATAATTTACGAGTGTTTTAAGTAACTTAAGTGTAGATTATGAGGTTATCGACTAGAAACTCTTTAAAAAGCCTTGAATTGCATTATGATCGGTCTCATTTAGGTTTTTAAGCAAACAACCGTTTTTCAGTAGTCATATAATTAGGCTCCAAAGTTATAAATCCATAAATATTATACTATAGTAGTCAGTGTAAGGGACACATAACTATATAAGACGCACTCAGAATGCTTTGTTCTGGCCTGATAACGAACCTATACTTATATGGTTGTAAAATGATTTACCAAATCTATGAATACCACAATTCGTTCTTATCTGAAATATAGTGAACAAAGCATAAGAGTATGAGAAACTTTCCTGGTTCCACATTACTCAATTAAGGGTACCAGAACACTCGTACTTTACATACGGTAACTAATTTGCTTTACACTCTTTGTCTCCCTCGGTAGGACACTTCCACTTCCAAAAAAATTTGTTTGAACATTTAGATCAAACTCCGTATAATGTCATTCTCTTACTTCCTGGTTCGTATGAAGCATTAATTGTTGCACATTCAAGTTGACTGACATGTTATGACTGAAACGATTGTCACGCTATGATGAATTGATATCATTCATGTGTTTCTATCGTGTTAACAACAATTAACCACTTTATAGTGTTTTTCCTACCTCTTCATTTAATGAAGTTCTACACTGACCTTTCACAAATTTCGTACTTGTTTAAGCCATAATTGATATGAAGTTGACAATCTATAAGGTGTAACACAACACAATAAAATCAAAAATATCTTAGTGTACTCTTGTTGTGTATAGCAATGGAATCGGCAGTGCTTAGCTCATCTTTTTTGGGACTGGTTACTAGGTGTACTTGAACTGTCCGCAGCTGAGTTTGGAAAGCTAGCTTTTGATAACAGAGTTCCGTTTATCATGTTCTTGTTAGTAAATGTGTCAGAATATTCTTATTACTTAAAGTGCTACTCGGTCTCTACAAATGATACTAAAGATATAAACATCGCATGTCTTTTTGATTACGTGCGCTAATCAGGCTTGTTTTTCTACTACGAAAGTTAGGCACTATAACACTGGTTGCACATATATAATAATGAATTTGAATAACCGGCTTCTTAAAAAAAGGTGCTTTAGATAACAATGTTGAAAGAGGAAAGTCTCCTAAACACAAAGATAGGGCTTTCTTTTATGAGAAGTCGAAGTTTTCTCTATGCATAAATTTCTTGTCCAACTTTTTTAAGAACTAATTCGTCTGAAGATTCTAATCAAAGTAAATGACTTTAAACTATCAGATGGTTAACGAAGAAACTATTGACTGATATATATTTACTTCCACGTAACCATTCTGGATAATATTTGGATATGCATTTCGAAACTGCATGTTTTACGCCACTAACGTAATACGCTCAGTAGGAGTAAGTAAACTGGTAAGCACATACTGGGATAGCCCGAAGCTTCAATTTATCTTTGATGCGTCCTTGGATCCGTCGGCTGTGTGATGAAACAACTCTCAGCTGAGCCGAATGAATGTTCTTGTCGAAGATTTTCAAAAGCCACTTTTTTTATGTTCTCGGTAGCCATGTCACACTTGAATTCAATCTTCACGTCACGTCTGCCCTTAGACAAACAACCACTGAAAACTAGAAAGTAATGAACAGATGTCCTATACTGGTATTACTAGGAATGCGCATTCACGACTCCATCTAGGAAAGAATGTAAAACCTTTGGTCTCTATGTGATAGTGTTATATCTGTAATAAGAAGCCCACATCTAGTGGTGTATATATTTAACTTCAAACAATTCACGGGGTTGTCAAGCTATAAAAACGTTTAAATTAAGCATTTTGATAAGAGGATAAAGTCAGAGCAAGCGCCTATACTCGTTTAATTTGTATCGTTTGAAGATACTTAGAAATTAAGTCTTTTTGTTAAGTAATTCAAAAAAATATATTTTTCAAACTAAACGATCAGCTAGCCGATTTGTAATGTATCTCTTGTTCAGTACATATACATCTCTATAAATGTATCAGATGATTCTTACGTAATGAAACATTTAGGTCTTATACTAACTTACACAAAACAAGTGGTTGAATGTTTCAGTCAACTAATGCACATGCAAAGACAAGTTTATCCTTGTTCAGATTATTTTAATATGTAATATGAATTCATAAATATCTGTTTAGCACGAAAAGTTGTTGCCAGTGATTTATGTGTGCTTTTCTCATACCTTGGGGGTATGAAAATGAATTAATCACATTGGTTGGTCAACCAGGTGTCTTCAAGATTATACGTATTGGTTATGCTGGTATAATTGAGGTATGAACGTCATCTATTTATTACCTAAGAACACACCATATTTCTCTAGAAAAGAACATTTCATACACATAATTTCATTTATCACCTTGACTAAAAGCTTAAATCTACGAAATAAGTGCTGTTTTATTTACTTCAAACAGCGTAACCTACATGTTTATTGTTTGTACAAAATTCCTATCCTTCTATATTAGTTTCATGCTTGAATTTATCCCTCATTGTTTTGAAAGTATCACGAAATTCAAAACAACGTATAGTAAACAGTGTTAAGCGTACCAAAATTTATATTGGTATTTTTATTTAGAATTATGAATGAAGGGAAAACGACAATTAAATCAATAATTTATCAAAAAAAAAAACAAAAACAGTAATGGATCAGTTCAAACAATGAACGCAAAAAAGAAACATAATCTTATATACTTAAAGTTTAGAAATTATATAAGCAAATCAATAACTTACATTTCATTTAATTTTATACCGAAACCTCGACAAAATTCATCGAAAGTGATTTTGTTATTTTTATCAGTATCACATCTTGACAACCATTCCTAGATATACAGTTTCATAAAAATTAAATAGATTTGATTGCATATGTAAGAATATGACACATAATTAATTAAAACTGTCTTAGGGTATTCACAATGAAAAAGGACCCAAGAGATCTGAGCATTTTTTAAAATATGAAAGTTCACTTGACTGATATTGGTTATAATGCTGAACTGTCGACTAATTGATAATAGATTTGAAACTTATTTCATTTGGTTAACAATTCCACTGACCAATGCATAAAATAATGAATGAAGATGAAGTATGTGTTATTTTGTACTAAGCTGATTGAATAGTCGTTTTTAGCCAACCTTATTGCTTCCGATGAACTTAGAAATCGATTGTCCATACCATTTAAAAATCTTTCTATGCAGTAAAACTTCCATTAACGTTCTCGGGTACTTGTACTTACATTTGACCATCGAATTTAAAAAATACTGGTCAGTACTAATGATTACCTATTTTTCGGTCATTGTTTTCATCTTACGGATATGTTCAGGTCATTTGAGTTTCACATTAAGAATTATTTAAGTTTATCACAGAGAGCTCTGTACTACTCTTTTCAAAAAAACTTCTTTGACAAACATGACTTTTATTGAAGATAAATGAAACGGTATTGGATTTCACCAGGAGTGTTTCCTTTATTGAAATCATGAATCGATCAATCTTAGGCCAGTATTGAAAACCCCATGATAACTGGATGACCGTTTCTTCCAAGTGTGGAACTCATCAGCGGTGCGAATCCACGATCACACGAGCGGGAACCGAACCTAGGACGCCCGGTCTCGCGCGAGAAGGATTAACCTCCAGACCGTTTAGCTGGCATTCCATGGTGTTAACGTCTAACGTCAATCAGTTCACGATGCTGCTCGAGCTCATCCATTGTCTTCATCAGGTAAATGCTTCAAACACTGTACGGACTGAATTCCACTTGTTACTGGTTCAGCAGCTCATATGTAAGATGTTTATCCTAAGATATCGAAATAGTAACTTTGATTTTCATGAAGGACTGGTGCAGTGAACTTCAAATACTTTTAATTATTCTTTGGACTGCCATTTTTGTAATGACCGCTAATGTTTTATTTAGTTTATTTTATAGTACTATCTTAAAATTGAGAGTGAATAAAATAAAAAATATGCTTAGTAAATGTATATTTCAGTCATGAGTTTATGACAAAAACACACCATTGATCTAAATGACTTTGATACTGTGTTTTGTTTAAACACCATGTCTTTGAGTAGGTTCATTTACATATGTACTTTTTCTGGAGGTTTACATCAGAACATGTATAACGTGAATATCTTTTCAAGGTTGATCGTTATAAATAATTTAACAGATTACTAATAAATTAAGTGCATCAAGTGGAAACAAACTATAAATATGAGTTTGAATTTGACTGGTCTGAAATAATAAGCATTAAATCTTAGATATCTACTCAAATTTTATTAACAAGACGATTTCTAACTGCAATGGTTGATTTCTTACAAAGTTACTTATGAATTTGTCAGCTATATAATTAAATTCTGTCATTTTAAGTTGTTTTATGTCTCATTCTGATATCTGTAAATGTAAAAATCTATCACTTGTATGAATGTATTCAACCTCATGTAGTTACTAAATGATTGTGACAGGAGTATGTCATAATATTTCAACATTTTTAAAATTTAGTTTCGTTAAAATAATTATGATAGTCAATAGGACTTCATTCAAATTAAAGTTACATGTCAAAATAGTATTTTTGTAAATAAAAATAAAGTTTCACCTTGTTAAATCAAAGTATTTTACTATGCAAATGGGTTTTTTTGTCAGAAAAGCCTTAATGATATTCATATATTGTAACATTTAACTTTTATGAAACTGTTAATTGTATAGTGGGCCGATCACAATCTCGAAGATCGATTCATTTTCTATTGTTTCGTAGATTTTAAATTTTTATTATTATTTTTTTTCGATTAAATAATACTTTCTCAGATTAATTACCTACTTTCAGCCTTTTTAACATTATTAGTATTATTATTATGAATGTCAACTGTGTAAAGGTCCTCATACAGTATTTGAACTAATAATTTTATGATATAACTTCATCATCAAGCTCTACATTTATAAATGAATGATTAATGCATTTTAATTTTCAAAACAGCTCATGCATAAACAGGTAGTAAGTCAATTGGGTAATGTGATATGTTAAACTAGTGAATTTATGCATTTAAAAACCTCCAAAATATATTATGTAAATTTGTGAGGTTATTCGAGAAACTGGGAGGAAGACTCGTCATGAGGTTCTAAGTAACAATCAATTTCAAACATTAAAAGCTGATGTTTAGCATTATCTAATTCATGTATTCATACTGGTCTAATTTTGTCCATTATAATAAAATAGTTATAAAGTTGTAGAGTTTGATAATCAATTTATGACAAGCAACTATCCGTTCAGATAGTTCTTATTTTATCGACTGACAATTGCGTCATTCTACTGCTGATATAGTGTGAGAATTTGATTTGATGAATATATGGAAAATGTTCAACATTGATTAGAGTTAACTGATAGACGAGTTGTGAAAAAGAAGGATTGTACAGTTTAAGCCGAAACAAATAATTACATAATATGGTCATATCTGGTAGTATTTAAGAGTAGATTCAAACTAACTAAAAAAAAAACTTAACTTTGCAACAATCTTCATTTTAAGTTAGAAGATAGTCTTTTTTGATTTGTCATCTGTGTGTTTGATAAGTGATTAATAAAAACAACAATGTTGTAAATCATAGAAATCCGTTATGGAAACTGAAAATGTGAAGTGTTAAAAAAAGAAGCTTGTTGGAGAACGGTACTGGGTTCAAGTCCCGTAGTGGATATCAACTCTGGTATGCAGGTACATCCAGTTGACAAGTCCTTGATTCCACCATCCATCATCCAATTCTGCTTATAATTCAAATCAGTTATGTCCTGTGATTTATCCATAAATAGATTAGAAAGGAAAATAACACTAAAATTCAACTATCATTGTATGTTAGATTTTTCTATTTATGTTTTAAAAACATAATAAATCTGTTACACTATCAGTAAACAAATGGTAAAAGCTAGTAAGTAATATACTATCCATACTTTTAGTTGATTTTCAAACTAAGTGTAAACCATAGTTTCCTTTAACTGATTTATCTTGGCAGTTGATTAGTAAAACATTATGCTATTAGCCATCATCTAATCTCTGAGTTGTAAAATCAACCTAATTTCTAGAGGTTCCATCAGTGAGCCTATATGAAGTTATATTGAGGAGACTACTAAAGTACGGGATTAAAGCTTATTGTAAAGCCATTATTATTTCAACGCTAAAGGTTCAGAATGTTATGATCCAACTTTCAACATGGCACAACAGAATAATATCTTACTGTATTATTTCTGTCAATAATATGAACAGTCGAATCAATATAATGAATTTATTTATTTGTGTAGATGAGAGTTACCTCTCGTAAGAAGCAGGTTGAAATACAAAACTGATCCTGAAAAATAATTCAGATCAAAGTCATTCTATAGTTACAAGTTACATGATCATATTTTCGACCATAATATATTTAACTTGTCTCTCGTCGCAAAAATATATGTGGTATGTGTGTTCAGACTTTAGAAAATTCATGATTCTTCTGCAATTTGTACTAGTTTTGTTCACAGATTCAAAAAATGATGTTATAACTAAGCTACTGACATCACAGCGCCTGTATTAAACCGAGGTTATGCACTTGAATCAAAATGCTTTATAACTATTTTAGTGCCATTACATTTTTAAGCATCCGATAAAATAGATGAGTTACATAATAATACATATCTGTATCCAAATGGCAAACAATTTAAATGCATAACTCACATTAACCATTTTCATATCAAGCTTGTTCTCTTGACAATAATTGATCAGTTCTTGTTTATCGACAATTTCATTGTTATCCTTATCCAATTCAAAGAATAATTCAATTAATTTCTCCATTTGTTGTTAGTTCCTTTATTTGAAAATTTTTTGTTAATATTCACTGGAAACAAGAATGTTAAATCCAACCAGAAATAATTAATTAGAAATACCAAAAGTTTCAAATTATATATTTCAATGAATTACTCAGATAAACAGTTGAGTGCTAAAATTCACTTCCAGTCATTGCTCATAAACTAGTAAGCAATAAACAGGTGTTCTGTTCTAGTTTGATACTGTTCAGCAGTGTGTAACCTCTACAGAGTAATGACATGATAGATGAATCATCACGTCTCCAGATGAACAGGATGTCTTTCATCCATCCATTGGATTATATTTTTATTTTCAGTCAACTTACGACTGCACTATTCTCATATAATACTTTTTTCATGTTCAGATGGTCGAGAATTATATTCTTTCCCTGAAATTAACGCTGATGAATATCATATTAAATTTTGGAGTAAAGCATGCTAAGTGCTGAGCATTCCTTGATCGATATCAAGTTCTAATCAAGTATCACTTGATTCTATCTAAACTTTTTAAATCGTTAATCTGAAGTACGAACACTTTTATGCTGATCAAATAAATATTTGTCATAAAAATTCCAAATATACTTTTATCTACCTGAGAAGTATGAATACAGATCATCAGTAAATGTTCTTTTTTTAATTGGAATAAAGGAAGGCTATTGAAAAAATCAATGATGTCACTATTATAGGTGGTTTCATCGCGCACCCAAACACACACACAACATATGTATGTATATCATTGTGCAAGATAGTCTAATCAATCGTGTATGATTCAGCTTGTACTCTACAAACAAAATGAGCAAATGAAACAGAGCATTTTTCTCAATACAATAAATTTGAAGGTCAATATGCACTTGTGCACATGTTTTACATCACGTGAATACTTTCAGTTTGTTAGGAGATCAATCAATGGATGTTAGTGTGTTTAGACCTAGTGGTTTGGCGAGTGAATAGGCAGTAAGTAAATTCGTTACCGGATTGGTTGTTCATTTTTTGTTGTTTTTTTCTTGACGATACATATATTCAATATGAAATGCAACGTGATCATTTAAATCAATGGCAGTTTCAACTAAACACTTGACAGATTGTAAGATGTTTGGTGACAGTTAGTGTAAAGCTATCATCAATACTTACATACGCATCTACATATTAAGATTTAGTAGTTTAAGCTTTAGGACAAGTTAATCATCAAACCAATTTAAACAGCTTGCCATGTTAGTACCGTTAAGATGTAACAAAAGTAGATATTCATCAGTTTGTGAAATTTCATGTTTGATTGTATGACAGAATTAACCGTGTAATAATCTAGTAACCGACAGTAAGCTGTTCGAAAGCTGTCACAATAATCACCAAAGTATCCGCTTCTTGTTGTGGCAGGTTTTCAAATGATCTCGCTTCCAAAGTTGATTAGACATGTGTAATTTATTTGAATTAGGTAATTATACAGAAATTTAGAGTTTGTTGAAAGATTTATTAGACACTGTCATATATTGTCCATTTTTCACTAGAATATTCCTAATATAAACAAACATTCTAGTGCATAATAACAGTTTATGAGGTAGGGAATACGATGAATATGTTTTATGTTCATGCTTGTTTAGTAAAGCTTCGTTGTTATTTAGTTGGTAGATTAGTTTATTTTAAAGTATTTAAATACAATCTCTATTAGGAATTATTTTATAATCCACGGAAAAATACATTGACAACTACATGCAAAGATTAACTCCCATGGTTTATTTCATCTTATATTTGATTGATACGTTTACTCAGAATTTACACTTATTAAAGTACGGTAGCACAAAATTCATTTCATTAGACAAAAATCTTATTCTAATCAACTATGAACTATGAAAATAAAGGAATTGTCTTAAACTATAATTCTGTGAATGTCAGTCATATGAATGATGTATACAATAATTTTATTCTAATTACATTCTGTATTTGTTATTTTATATTTATACTAAGTATCTTCAAAAAGCTCTACATTTCTGAACATAAAAATGTTAAGATTAATTATTAACAAAAGGTTGTAGAATTCTACCGTGTATTTATTTATTGATGTTCTCAATTCTAATCAATACGGTTTTTTGATTATAACCTTTTGCATTTAACCATTGATAAAAGTCTTTATGATAATAAAGTAAAGCAAATGAGTATTAAGCTTACAAAACTGTAATCTAATATAATTGTGTTTTGAATAAAGCACAATGTTCATCTGTGTAGTTTGTAGAATATCTTTTCCATGGGAATAAGAAGGCATGAAGATGGAATCTAAAAGCTATTTTCGGAAAAACCTTCCGTATCATTATTAACACATCTCATTATTTCGTACTAACAATAAAAAATTATAGAACTTAGAAATTTCTTTGTAAAAGACTGTAACATATATTCATTTGACATGCAATAAGTTTATCAGTATGGATTTTAGCTAGGATAAACAATCATTTAAGTTTTTAGTTTTGTAAAGTAGTATATTTTTAATTCGAAAATTAGAATCATATTATATTAGGATAGGAGTTGACTAAACAAACTGATATCAACCTACATTAACTAGAAATTTAGTAAGATACACTTGAACCAATTAGAAGCAATAAAGATGAATTATCTCCCAACAAATCTTCAAATATAACCAATCAAATATATGTTAATTAATTTTATGAAATCAAGATATACGGATTGTTTTCTATGTGAATATTTCTTTTATTTCATGCACTTGTCAACGGAAATTTAATGGAACATTTCTGATAACACTTGTGCTTAGTATGCATGTTATATCTATTTGAATTAGACATTTACCGATTTAGAGAGAACGAAGGTGAAATACTTAGAGATATACATTTTCAGTTCTGATTTAATCGGACAAACACTATGATGTGTGCTGCACAACAAGGAATAATTAATATCTTTCGTTATGGAAATTCGATTGCAGACAAAATCGATGTGACTTCATTTAGTATTTCATTTATTAGTATATGTTTTAATCCAATCTTATTATTGTATGTGTTTGATATTAATCTTGGAACACAATTTCTTGGTATAATGATTATGTTACAAATGACTTGTGAATGGTTTGCTTCAGTTGTCGCTGCATTATATGTATTTTGTCCAATCATTACAACAGATCAAATGTGGTTTAATTTGATATTTTGTCATATGTGGAGTAGCACATTTATGTACAATCTATTTATAATGTTCTGTAAATATAACGTTATGTCAATGTTAATAGAACGATGTTTTCATCTATTTCACCCAAATAAAAACATACTTGATTATCCACGTACTGTCTTTGGATCTTATTGTTTCGCTGTGATATATATCACAGCAATCAATTTGAGATTTACTGCCATGGTACAAATGGATTCAAGTGGAGAATGTATAGCTGTTGGACAAAATCCTGTAGATGAATTCCATAGTCGACAATTATTAGTATTTGGTTATTTATGTCTAGCATTATTATTGATACTACCAGCTATTGTTGTGACAACATGTTGTATATTGATGATATTTTATTACATTAGAAAGAAAAATGCAAATAAAAATTTCAATGGTTTCAGCTCACATAATCTACAGCATATTTTAACTTTACTTGTAGTTATTTGGTCACTTGAGTCAACAATAGCTAGTATACTAGATATGGTTTTATTTTATGATTTCAAAAATTACGGTTACACTAAATTAGCACAAATTCTTCAGAGTACAACCGAATTAGTACGTATAATATTTTTTGTTAGCCGTACACTTAGCTTGTTTATTTGTATTCAATCAATTCGTTTAAAAATTATTGCACATGTTAAATTAATTGGTAACTCTTTTTTCAAATTATTTAAACGATAATCATTACATATCATACAAAAGTGGAACCAAATAAAATTAAGTTGTGTATTCGTTTCTGTCTTATACATGAAAGTTGATCTGCTCTTCGCATTTGTTTGATTTCTTACTTAATGAAGTTTTGTTGTTATTTTTAACTAATAAACTTCAAGTTCTTTTGCTATAATACCTTAATATTCATACTTTGCTTGAACTTTATTTATTAATGATTAGTTTTTAGAAAAAAAAGTATTTTTTAAAACAAATCTTCATAAAGAAGATATTTTTCTTAAAATAGAATTTATTCTCTTGATGTCATTTTGTTCTGTAAGTTAGATGATTCAATGTCCAACCTTTGATTGCTACACTACAAGACATCATCATAGCCTGTTTTACATAAAAGTTTTAAAAAAAAAAGCAAGCATTGATTTCATTATCGATAAACACCAATAAAAAGCTTTAAAAATAATCTATCTTACTCAACGAACAGAACATGGTTGAAAAAAAAATCCATCTGAACTAAAAATTTGCATAATTTTAATAATTCCGTTATTTCGAAAGAATACATTTTATTTTCATTTGTATTCTATCAACTGCTAATTTTTGCAATCATTTTTATGAATAACACATTTTATTTTGTCACTTTCAAGTGAAAATTATGTTAGTAACTGCACATAAGAAAAGGTTTTTTCATATTTTAGTTCTGTTTGAAGAAAATATTCATATTTCGAAGTTTATTTTAACTCACATTTGGATAGCAGTATATGATTAATGCAGTTGACAATTTTTCTTCAAATCTATTCCTTTTCATAAATTCAATGTGAACTAGAAGATTTCATTGTATTTTGTCTATTACATTCTTATTATTACCAGTATTATGGATTATATTTCCTATTGCTAGTAAACATTAAAATTTTTTTACTGATTGTAACGGTAAGAAGCTAATTTGTATGTCAAAATTATGTATGATATTCCAACATTATATTCAAATATGATATGGTTGTAAAATTGCTAACACTTACAATTATATAGTGTTATTATCAGTCATATTGATAAAAAATTAAAACAGGGAATAAATAAAGTGATTGTTAAATACTGTTATTAGCCTATATATACACATAGTATATTATATTACCCACTGGTGAGAATTATTATTGAACTCAATGAATTTTCAAGAATTTTCTAACTCGTAGTTATATGGTAGACAGCTTTGATACAGATGCGTTGAATGTATGCTAGTAAGCTATCATATGTTGATTCTATCGTATAGAGAGTGAAGCGTCTATTCTTCATTTATACTAAATGATCGCAGTGTTATCTCACGATCGAGTTCAGAAATCTGACTCATTGGTCCAACGGACATAGAAGTCTTGGATCCTATATGCAACGTATGTGCTTTGATTTGAAAGTCTTCTTTCACAGTACTAAAAATATATAAATATCATACGTTTCTTAAAATATAAAAGATCAGAGTTCTCAGAAAACTCCACGATACATTTCATTTTTTTCAAAACAACGATAGAATTGTGTAATTAGATCTAAACATCATCTTATAATGAAGTGTCATTAATAAGCCAGAGAATATACTGTCTTTATGCCTGATATGCTTGACAATGAATGAAAAGTAATCCATTGATTTAACTCTACTTATAATTTAAAAACGCCTTAGATAATTTTTCAATTGAATTTATGCCTAAGCAAATAAAAATTTGTTTCCATATTCTTATTTATAATTTATCTTTCAGTTAATTAGGCTGATATTTGCAGGTAATATCTTTATTTGAGAAAGTGCAACTTGTTTTTTTGTGTACCATAATGTATATAAATAATTTAGAAAGACCTCACTTAAGACACGTGTTTAATCAGCACTTAAAGTACTAATAATATTACATAAAGTAGATAATATAAGGTGAAATCCATTTTGTCATATCTAAATGTCTGGTTGTTAGAGCGATCAAACGATAGTTATTTAAATAATGTATCAATTGGAAAGTAATTTGTAACCTGTAGAATGCATAAGTTGGATGTTGAAACTACACTTTATTAATAAGGAAAATGACAATTAATGAGAAGTGTGTCATTATGAAATGACGTATTATGTGTAAAAACGAAAATCTCTTAACAAGACAAGCTAGTCATTTGATCGAAATAACCCAATAAACTACTGTTAGCTTTGTATTCTGTTTAGTTATTTATCTACTTAAATAAACTATTTCTAGTCTATGAGAAGACAATGCATATAAATATAATTTTCATCGATATTAGTGTATTATGGATTTCATACTGTCATGCAGACACTGTCAAGGAATGAGTTTAAGTGATGATTACCACCGATTAAGTAACATTTGTAAACAGTTCCTATTTGAATTACATATAAGATATGAAATGTCTCCTAATGCATTGCAAATGAATGCAACTGTGAAACTGGTGATTGATCTACTTTCCTTGAGTACTATGATCGTATTAATTTGCAACATCACAGATAATGAATTAAAATCGAGCTCATCGGACATGTATGTGAGGTGATCCTATAATCATGCATTGAAAAAACAAACGACACAACTGAAAGTTATTTTATGTATATAAAATATGAAATATTATTAACGGAAATTCTTAGAACAGAATTTTGCCACAATATCATGTAGAAGATGCCTTTTCAAGTGGATAAAATATCTTTTGGGACCTACCTAATAAAGATTAAATCAACTTCTTCAAAAAACTTGCTTCATCACTATTTGTATGCATGCAGTCTCATGGACATTATTTTATTGGAGTTTATATTACGTACTTACATAGGCCTGTTATTCCTCATGGGGGATAAGCCACTGACTACGAATCTCCAACTAACTCTGTCCTCTGATTTTCTCTCTAGCTGTTACCAATTGCTATTTATCCTTTTGATATCTCCTTTAAATTTCAAGCATAATGTATACTTCAGTCTATCATTTTTCCTTTTTCCTTCAAGATCCTAAGTAAGGTCTTGCATTGTGATGCATTTTGATGATTTTCATAGTATGTGTCCCACCCTTTGCCAGTGTTTTTCCCTAATTTCTCCTCAGCTAGCAGCTGGTTATTGTTATCTGCTACAGTCAATTATACCTGATAGTCTCTGGACAAAGGATCTGGAGTATCCTGGGTAAACAGTTGTTGATAAATACTTGTACTTTATTGTGATGGTGTTGATAGTCTAGCAGTCTAGTCTAGCTGTATACAAGCTCTCCAATGCGATGTGGTTTGTGATGAGGTCCGACAAAGCCTATACAAAAGAATAAGAAAGGGTAGGAAATTGTCATATTAACCTAGGCTTAAAGATTACCAGGGTATGATGAAGGCTGTAACAAATTGTTTCTGTACATATAAGAGGGGTTTTAATTAACGAATAGCCAAGGCCTCCATAAACCTCAAAATTCGTTCTTCAACATTTTTATACGATGTTTTGAAGGCTATCTTGATGTCAATCTTATGCCCTGTCTCAATTGTGTTTTGTGATCGATGAACACGGTTTGCTATTTCCCACGTTTATCGGCTCATCTGACGTTAACTGACTTTGAAGCCACCTAGGAATATGTTCCGTAACCCTTGATTGCAAAATCCGATTACTCTTCCCTATGTATGTGTGTCGACACAAATATGTAAATTAATAAATGCAATCGGATGTGATGTAATCATTCGAGCAACGATTAGGTCTTTGTGTAATCATGGGATTAGTTTTTTCAGTTACAATCAGTTTAGCAGCGTAGTATGTTTTTTCTATGGCTGCTTTTATTCGCTGTCTTAAGATTAGACCATTTGATTCACCTCTAAATGGTAAAGTGATATAAACATTTTCTTTCCAGTAGAATGAAAAACAGGATTTTGTCTAACTGATTTCTACACCTTTTGATGAACTTTAGTGGATAGCCGTTTGAAGTCAATGTTTCAGTGAAGAATTTTGCATCGTTTTCAAATGTATCTGTGGTACAAGTCTTTGTGCCCTATTGAAGAGGCATTTTACCAAACCTTGCCTGTGTTGCAGTGGAGTAAAACTGCTGAAATATAAATAATGCCCAGTCCAGGTTGGTTTTCTATAAACTGAACGCTTAATAGGTCCATTCTCCCTTTGACTCAATAGTAAGTCCAAAAAGGGCGATCGGTTATTATTTTCTGTTTCGTGGGTTAGGACAATGTCGTTCTGAAGACCTTTGAAGTTATTCACTACCTGAGAGACATTAAGTTCTTTATCGCATATAACTAAAATATCATCGACAAATTTTCAGTTTATACCATTTAAACATCAGCTAAGAGAGGTCCCAAAGGACTGCTTATGGAAACGTCATCAACTCGCTACGAATGTTCATCATCAAACGTGAAATGAACTTTCTCCGTACCTAATAAAATAATTCTCTTAGTTAAGTTGACCGAATGAGAAAAAGAGGGAAATTACTTAACATATAGTCACAAAGAAAGTCAATAGTTTTCATTAGAGGTACACTGGTAAAATGGGAGTTTACATCAAAAGAATTCATAGTCTTTCCTTTAAATTATTGTCATAAAGAACAGCAATTAGTTCAAACGTATCTTTAAGGGAAAACTTACAGAATTTATTACGAACTGGGCTAAGTAATTTCGCTAACCATATAGCTAGCTTATGTGTAAGTGAGCCGCACATAGACATTATTGGTCTTAGTGGAATGATTATATAATTTCCGACTGCATTTATTAATTTACATATTTGTGTGGACACACATACATAGGAAGGAGTAATCGGACTTTGCAATCAAGGGTTATGGAACATATTCCTAAGTGGCTTCAGAATACAATATCACTTCTCCCGGAGCTAATTTTTCTTGTCCAGTTGGTTTCCAGCGAATGTCTCTTACCCCATTCACAGTAAGATTGTATCTTTTCATTCCCATAGCTATTTGAATGATATTTCCGGTCTTTCACGTTGTTCGGGCATTCCAAGTACCTATGTCGACTGTTGCTCTGATTTTCAGGAGGGCTACTGACCTCGTGACCTCTGCAGAATTTCAGGCTTCTCGATT